CTAATTATCACCTCCTCTGGTTCCTATCGCATCCTTTAGAAAGCACAAATTCTGAAAATCGACCTCAACTCGAGAGTGAGGTCCACCTCTTCTTTTTATCATAGTTGCCGTAGTTCTATGAGAATGGAAATGAGAAGCTGTGCAAAAGAAAGGCACTAGTCCTAGTCATCAACTGCGGTTACCTTGTAGATTGGAGATGTCCTTTACTGACCGGAAATTTAGTTCGAAAAATTTGGTCAAAGTGTCGCAGGACTTTTCGAACAACCTAATACCATCTTTCTAACTTACTCCAACTTCCTACCTTTCTTCCAAAGTTTTTTTCTTCGTTAAGTTTTTTTGAACGACAATGTTGAGTAATGGACAAATGTCAGACCCTAGTCAGGGCAAGTGTGTTTTGCATAAAGCCGCTGAGGTCGCTCTTACCAACACAGTTGAATGGTTTTTGTGCCATATCTTCCCAGCACTCATACATTTAACGTAATAACCGGCACAAAGCCACGAGCTGAGGGGATAAGTGGGCCCCGTTGACGTAATGGGCAGGGCAAATGAAAGAAAAGAGTTTTATTATTCCACTATGTCTACTCTGGCGACTGAAAAGTGTGAACTGTGAAGTGAGTTGGGGATGGCGAGAACAGAGGAAAGACGTCTACTTCAAGTCTAAGGTGTGGTTTGCTTATTCACGGATTTAGTTATGGAGAAGCAACCGAGAGTGCACCAGACTTCGGAGCATCAAGGGACAGATGACGTGAATTGGAATGAGCTTTTTGATTTTTCGCTAATTGTATAAACTCTAAATTACCGTAGCACTGTCGGCAATCGTGAAACCGAATCCTTCCGATCCTTTGATGATTTCGATTTCGTGAAGATCCCGACTCTTGCCACCCGTTTGATAAACATTTTCGGTGATTATCTAAACAACTTGCGATGAATTAGCGGAAGGTCAACCAAACCTAAATAAAAACATAAACTCACCCTATTAGAGGGGTCCAACATGAGCGGATAGCCTCGACAGACTTGTATAGCAACCGGGTCGCCAACGGGTATATTGACGAAAATTCGACAGGCATCCGATTGAGAAGCACCTAGCAACAATTCGCCATTCACCCTCACCAGTACATCACCTGGTTGCAGAACTCCGTCTTCAGCAGCTAGACCTCCTGGCAGCACCGATTTGACCTTAAAATATCGGAATCAGTCACCCAGCGTTGGGAATTCATGCTTTACTTAACCGAGCTGAGCAAGCGCGCATACATTGGAACTTTGGCGGAAACTTTTTTCTACACAGAGTGAAGGCAGTCTTTCAAGCTGTCAAGTCTGATGCCTCGTTTTTACCGTAATCCAGAGTTGTCTACGTAATGCACATGCTCTTCCAGGGATATTTCACGTCCTGCACCAAAGTGCAATTTGCTGGATTGCAATTGTTTTTTCTTAATGGTGTATTGTTGACATCGTCGCCATAAGAATTAGCCCAGGGTGTCGGGAGGAGCGGAATGAGCCCACCTATGACTGCCCTTTCTACCAATAGTGATCAGTTACTGACTGATTCAGGAAGAAAACAATGAGTGACGAAACGCCTTGAAAGGGCTAATTCCTAGCCTCTTGGCACGGCTCCTACTGATTCTGACTAATACCAACTGCACTTCACGGCGCGGTTGGTAGAAGTTACGATCGACTTGAATCTCGACAGGCCACAGGATTAAAGCGCAAGGAGCGTGGAGATTATAGAAATGTAATGGATAACGAACCACGATAAACACATATTTGATAGAAACAACTGGCATAGGTATGAGTGTCATGAAAAAAACCTTCGAAAAACATGGAGGGCACATGGGCTGGGGGGGAGGGGGTGAGAGACCATGTGCACTTTGGCTAGTTTCTTTTGCTAGTTCACCTTTTCTACTAGGTTTCACTTCTGTTAGAAATGTAAACTCTTGTGAAACTGCGAAATCGTATAACTGAGATGTTTTGATGAAGAAATTTACAGGACCTCGATACTACTGTGAATGGTTCATTTGACCTGGCCTGTATAAGCTTTGTAGAGCCATGGTGCCCCTAACTAGCCGAACTGCGCCTCAAAGGCACCATCTGGTACTTCGACCACCAAGGGAAAAATTTTCTGGCACCGTAAACTGCGGAATCGTATAACTGAACTCTTCTGATTAAAGGAACTTACAGGACTTTGAGCCTGTAAAAGGTAGCCTTAAAAAACCAGGACCCTGGTTTGAGACAACCGTCATGCTGCGCGCTATGGTAGGACCCTGTGATATTCTGTGTATGTGCGTGAACTTCCTGTCAGAAACATAAAAGAAGTGTGGTTGTTTTAGCATGATAACTGCTGTCTTACGCCGCTCCGAAAGCTAGTATAAACGAACCAAAGGGACAAAGAGGTGACCTCGCGACCAGGGCAACTAGGGGTCCCGTCTTACCCACAAATGACACACAATTTCCAGCACTATTTACCCTTCATTGCCCCAATCTTCCGAAACCAGGCCAG